AACCTGAGAGAACCCTGAAACAGAGCTTCTGTAATAGCTTGGTAGATATAGAAAAATCCGAACTCCTATAGCAGTAGTTAATGTAGGCCAATCATCAATCATTTTAATCTTGTTCTGGTTCATTGTGATACGTTCACTGTCAATGATATGTTCCAAGAATGCAATGCTTCTCAACCAGAATTAACACTTTGACAATCTTTCATATAACTGGTTGTCCTTCAATGTCTGTAGATCTATGCAAAGATGATCGATGTTATGGGTCTCACCATTGTAATAGATTAGAATGACATCAATAAAGACAATCATGAATCTATCTAGAAATGATTTAAATGTTCTGTTCACCTGGTCTATAAAGACAAGGAGAGCATTTGATAACTGAAAAGGCATCACCACAAACTTATAATGCCTGTATCTGGCACTGAAGACAATCTTTGCCATGTCATCTTTTTTAATTCTTAGTTGTAATAACCTGATCGCAGATCAATCTTAGAAAATATAGAAGTCCCTTCCAATTTACAAAGAGATCATCAATCATCGGCAATTTGTATTCGTTCTTGATTGTGAGCTTGTTTAATTCTCGATAATCAATACATGCTTCAAGCCCCTTTCTTTCTTTATAACCAAAAAATATTTGAGCTCCCTAAGGGGAAGTGTTTTGTCTGATAAATCTTTTCTCTAATAAGTCATGTAACTAACTCTTTAATTCTTGTAGCTCATTAACTACCATCCTATAAGATGCCTTTGTTACTGGTCCCACATTTAGTAAATCAAATCTCTCTTCTGGGAGGCAAACCTGACAAATCACTAAGAAGACTTTTGGGTACTCCATTACTACTTAGTATATCTTCCAAGTTATTTGGTTTTTTCACAATATCAATGACTTAGCTAAGAAGCCTTGGTACCCTTTTGTTAACAGTTTGAAAGCCTTTAAGCTGGATATCATGATAGATAAGGCTCATCTATCTTCACACAAATTTGAATTCATCATCTTCAGGGATATTGGTTGTGAAGTAATTTGATAGCCAATTCATCCCTACAATCACTTTGAATTATGTTAGTATTAACACTACCTTCACACTTTTATCACATATCGTCAGATTCACACAAATTCTATCAGCCGTTATCAGGGACCCATTTGGTAGAATGACTAATAAGGCATCAAGCATCTTGAATGAATTCAATACTTTGAATCTCACAAACTCTTCAGAGATAAATGAATGTGATGCTTCAATTTCAAATAGAGTTCTAACTGATTTGTTTTTTATAAATACAAAATCTATAATAAGAAGAATATAAAAGTCTCGTAATATATAAAGATTTGGCAGATGTACTGAAATAAGGAAATATCATTATTGACGTCAAGTGAATCTCTTACTTCCTGTTGAGTCAATGCATATATTATAGGTTGTACACCCTGTCGTGTCTGTCTCGGAGCTAAAGTTAATACTGACGACTCAACTAACTTCTGCCTGCCAAAAGTTCTCTGAAAAGGAGGAGCACCAGCTCTGGTATCTATAGGAGGCCTATGAACTAAAGTAGGACACGATCTCATCATGTGTCCTAACTGATGATGCCAAAAATAGATATTGGTGCCTTACTAGCATTCTCCTCTGTGCGCCTTTCCACACTTGGCACAAGTGGTCACACTACTATTGCTATTAGTGAAACTATTATTACTATTGTTATTGAGCTTAGGTCTCTTCCAATTGGATTGCCCAGATTGAACAGTCTGAGGGGGTTGTCCTGATCAGGACCTATCATCTCCTCACCTCTTTTAAAAATCTCTATGCCTCTGTATAGCCTTGAATTCAATCTCTATTCTCATCCTCTCCACCATGACCGGTAATCCTCAATGACAAGAAGGATTAAAGGCTATTTAATCACATTCTTTAACCCAGGTAGAAACTAGTGACACTTTTCTTCGACATTAGGGATTAATTGAGGTGTATATCGAGATAGGATCATAAACTCGGTCTCATACTATATGATGGAGTGGTTGCCTTGCACCAGTTTGATAAATTGGTCATGCATCCTTCCCTTGGCGGAAAGATGAATAAACCAATCACAGAAAATCCTCACAAAATCCTTCTATTGAATCTGGCTACTGGCTCGTCCTCCAAACTTCTCTTCTAGTTGTCCCTACACCATCTCTTTGCTTACCCCTCGAAAGTAAAAAGCTACAAATGAAAACCTTCTCTCCCGAGGGCAGGACAATTGTCAATGATTTTCTTGATTCGCAATAGTCAGTTCCCAGCCTCAACTGGCCTTGCTCCTGAAAATAAAAGTGATCTCATGCCTCGGAATAACTTCAGATACTTATCCATCTGCTTTGTTCCACTAACACTAGCCTGGGTCTGAGAATTCTGAAGCAGTTATCATTATGGCCATCATCTAAATAATTGTCTCCATAGGGAAGCTAAAACCTTTGATTGGAGGATTAGTAAGTGTTGGACACGTTGCATTGAGCTGATCAGTAGCCCTTGCCTCTCTATTATTCCCACCAGTATCATACAGATTGATATTAATTGCCCCGAGATACCAAAATTTTACATTAGAATTACTTTTTATTTTTATTATTGATTATTAATGATTTTCCTATTTGTTTTTTATGATCATTTTTCATATTAGCCTTATTCTTATCTAGGCTCTAATACCACTCTTATCACGACCTGCTTCTAGAGCTTTGAATTACCAAGGTGAGAAATGTTTATCTGTCGGAGGAAAACTATCTAACAATTTTGTTTTATATTTAAAAAGAAATCCAAAAGTGTCATTTTATTTATGAAATTTAAAGTTCCAACCTGTTTGTACAAATTTTTAAATATTTACAACTAACAGAAGAAAAACTAACATATATTACCTATTAGTCTGTGCTCCTCAGCGCCTGTACACATACTCTCTATGGTCCATCTTGCCTAAAACAAATTTTCCTATAAAATGTTAGTAATTAAATGTTCGAGTTAAATTATTCAGTGGACAAATTTTTCTAAATTACAATAATTATCATTTTAAAATATTTCATAAAAGTACAATAAATAGTAAAAATTTGTGTTCAGTAAAAGTGTAATAAAACTTAGTTTTTTTATTTTCTTTCATTTATTTTTGTTACACTTTCTAATTATTGGGTGCCTCCGTCAAAAAATGCACTTAAAAAAACATTTTCCAATTTATCATTAAGGTATGCAATCATTTTCATTTTGTGTACGAGTACGTTGCATTCATCTACTAGTACCATTCAGTGGTGACCCCCATATACATGTATATATCATATTTTTTTATTTTCTTGCATTTAACATTTAAAAAATATATATATAAAATTTTGCATTTAAGAAATGTTTGGAAATAGTAAAAATATGCGTAAATAAAAAGAAATATTGTATAGAGAAATCTCTCACTTTGCTTATATTCTCTCCCTCTATCCATCTCTCGAGGAAGAGATGAGGTGAATTGGGGAAGAGAGGATGAGTAATGGAGTGGGTGAAGGTCCCCACATCTTTCAATGACGGAGAAGATAGGAGAAGAGGAGTTCTATACGTGAAGGTGATGACCGACGAGCAAATGGAGATTCTCCGGTGTCAGATTGCAGTGTACGCGATAATCTGTGAGCAGCTCGTCAAGATGCATAGGGCCGTTTCGGCTCAACTTGATTCCCTTGCAGGTATGAGATTTGGAAGCCTGTATTGTGATCCCGTGATGACGTCAACCACTCATAAACTTGCTTCAAGTTAAAGTTGAACACAAACACCCATGTAGCTCTAGATACTGGAGAGCATATTCGATCAGGGAAATGGGACTTCCTCCAAACAGAAGATCAAAGAAGTAATATTCGAGCTCACAAAACGCGTCAAAATCTCTGAAACTAATGTCTACAATTGGTTCCAGAACAGAAGAGCGAGAGCAAAGCGCAAGCAAAGTTCTGTAGCAACGTCTATTACTGAGTCTGAAGCTGACACACAAAGCGAGTCCAGAAATGATAAAAAAGCTAAGACTGAGAGTCATGTCCGAGGATCTGCCTAATCCTGCTTCTCCATTACAGTACCCATAGACTAACAGATTGCGAAACTATGTGTCTTCTTTGAAGCTTCTCTTATAAACCCAAGGACTGATAACTTGGTGGGGAAAGTTTTTTATGCAGGAATTGATCACTTGATGGAGAAGATGGATGACTCTTGGGATCTTTAGACACATCAATGACATTCTAACTTGACTATAAATATTATAGAAGGAACCCAAAAAAGATGATTCTGGGATAAATCACAGGGCTTTCATCATATTCTTGCAATTTTGCAAATTTAATGTTGTTTTCTAAGATCTTAAGAAGTTTTGGTTGTTTGTTTACTAGGTTTTAAAATGTTTCATGGTGTGATCAATATTTTCCATGGTAGTAAAAAAAAAAGAATTATTGTAAAATAAAAATATATTTAGCCACCTCTACAATGCGGTTTGTTATCATTTCTTCGAGCAGTCTAGTCTTTTAAGTGCACCTATAGGAACAAGTTAGACTAAATAAATTCTTATTTATTTCTATTCGTTATTATTGTTAATTTCATTTATTTATAATTTATCAAGTGAATTATCTGATTATTGAATTATATATATATATATATATTCTAATAATAATCCTAGATGAATATTTACAGTTCCTTGCAATTTCCAATGGAGTGATTGTCACATTCTTATTATTAAGCTATTTCATCATAAATCTTAATATATACGACATTAGATATCACGTTTAAATCAAATTAACTTTTTAAATTTCCAATTAGGTAACATTTTTAAACTTTTAAAATAGTTTAATTTTAATTAATTAAAACAATTAACTTGTAATTATTAAAGTAGGTGTTCGTATCTGAAAAATTTCCTATTTCTTTTTCCTATTAAGCCTTCTGGCCAAGTTCCTTAAATAAAAGTTGAACACAATTTATGTAATTAAATTATCGATAGCTGTTTAATTTTCCAGGGACTCTATGGTGGTTGACACTTTAGTAGTGTCTGTACAGGGGAACTTGGAATGCTTTTTAGGGTTACTCCGATAGCTGTTATTGGAGGATCTTTTCAGTCTGGTCTTTCGGGTCACAATTTCTCTGAGGCTGCTGCAGCTGGGTGTGCTGTTCTCACTGGTATTTTCTCAGCTACTCTGTTGCAGATTGTACTTTCTTTGTTCTTTTTACTCTGTCTGTTTTCTTCAGTGCTATATTGATTTGACAGGTCCTCATTTGGGACACTTCTCCCGCATGTTAACAGAGATGAAGCAAGTTGATTCCTTATCAGTTTTGCAGGTGTGGAAGCCTTCTTCTCTTTCCTTCATTTTCAAAACCTGGATGACCATTTATCTTAGGCTCTATATTTGGGGAAATATTTGCATACTGACTATGCACACAAAGCTGCGTGCGTAATAAACTCCGCTTTGCGGTTATTAGGGGGTTATTGAAGTATTAATTTCAATAACATATAAGTCCAATAATTTCAGCCATTCTATTTCAATGCTATACATAGATTATTATGAGGGTAATGAGGGGTTAATGGAGTACGCACGCAGAGTTACTTGCATATTCCGTATGCAAATATTTCTCCTATATGTCCCTACTAAAGCATGAGTGGGTTGTAATTTTTTTTTAAAAATAATGCTTTCTCTATTAGTTTTCAGTATGCATTCTCTTTGATGGCATTAAAATTATCATTTTGTAGCATTCAAATTAGATTCAGCTCTGTAATAGACATCCAAGTTTAATTGTATTATGTTTAAAAAAATATGCAGGTTAAGGGGAAAGAAGAACTTGTGGATGCATTGAAGCAGCTACTAAGCCGTGCCGAGCTCTTGGAAGCACGTCAGAAGTCAGCAAAGCTGGCCTTTTCAACTGTTTCAAATGGGGTTGTTAAGAATGTCTGGAAACTTGTTAATAATCATTGTCTGGGGGGCAGACAAGCCATTGGGCTCAATCTGAAGCCATGAACATCCTGACTTGGCTTTCCTCACCAGCCTAGAACTAACTAAAGCCTGCAGACGTTTGTAATCTTTTGATTTATGCAGTTTGATAGCTTGCCACCATTTGATTGATCTGCAGGCTTTATTTAGTTCTTGGAAACGCCCAAATGCTATTTTTTAGTTTCTTTTTTGTGTTGTATTTCTTTATTTTATTTAAAAAGCATGTTTATTTATTTTTTAAGTATTTTTAAAAATAAATAAATATGTGATAACATTCTGAATATATTTTACTTTAAGTTAAGATATAAATAAAATAATAATAAATATAATAAAAGTGATATTAAAGGGTCAATAAATTTTGTGTGCATTGCTGTCTGACACTTATTTCCTTTGATTTGGCTGTAATGTGGCAATAAAGTAGCGTTCCTTACCAATGCTGTGCCCTAAGCCTTCTTTTAACATTATTTCAGTTGATATATCACGTATATCTAGTTTAAGCATATGATATTTGACCATTAAAATGCATTGCTGTCAACAAATTTGGATTAAATTGAGATTAGAAGATGGCTGATTCAGTCCAGAGCTAACCATGTAAAGTTATAACTGAATTTTGAATAAAAGAATGAAAGAATAATAGTATTAAATAAAAAAATTAATAATAATACCAATAAATCGAATTGTTTTCGTTGAGGGAAGTTGAGAGAGGGAGGGCATCTCTCGGTCGCTCTTCACTCTTAATTGAATAGAGGGAATAGATTGTGAGAAAAGAATTTGAGAAGAAAGAAGAAAAATAAGAACTCTTTAAGGATGAGAAGGATCATATGTGCTTAGGGCTGTCAAAACGGCTCGTTGTTCGCGAACGGCTCATGTTCGACTAGTTAAGAAGCTTGTGTTCGGCTTGTTAATTTCGTTTGATAAGTTAACGAGCCGAACACGAACTAAGATGTGTTCGGCTCGTTTTGGTTCGAAGTACTACTCATCAAGTATATATATAAGTATATATATATATATTAAGTTGTATTTTAAAAATTACTCATCAAGTATATATATATATATTAAGTTGTATTTTAAAAATGGACTACAAGGCTATAAAGATTTATAATCAATTAAAATATTGATTAAGAAAATAGAATAAAAATTATTAAATTAGATTCAAATGATGTTTTAAAATAAATAATAATTTTTAAATCTTGCTCAAACCCTTATTGTCTTATGACTACAATTAGGGTTATTAAAAGTACTCTTTGTTCGTGAACAGCTCGTGTTCGGCTCGTTAAGCAAACGAATCGAACACGAATACACTTTTTGAGCTCAAAATATAAACGAGCCGGTTCAACTCGTGTTCGGCACGTTTACACCCCTATATGTGCTCATGAAGGAAGAGGAGAGGGAGGAGGAGGTATAAAAGGTGCCTTATCTGGATCAAACAATAATTGAGGAGAAAGTTGCTTTTTCGTTTGTTTGTGTCGTGTGAAGGATGAGGAAGAGGCGTTGTCTTCTTGTCTAGAGGAAGCCGTGTTCGACTTTGCGTGCGCAATTTTTCTTGTGAAATTGTGAAGGAAGATGAGGGAAGAGGCCACATGCGACTCTATCGAGAAGACAAGGGGAGCTCTTTGGGTCAAGACCTGTGGAGGAAGGAGATAGCTTTGTGTGTTGTGTTGGGGTTTGTCGAGACTGAAGGAATTTTAAGGCAACTGTAGATAAGGAAAGCTTTTTTAGGTTATTTTAATTAATTGTGTTATTTAATTATATATATTAATGTTAAGCTTAATTGTATGTGATATCAGGATTGAAACTAATAAATCAAGAAATTTGAGGCAAAGATGTGACATAAATTTCATGTAAGGAAAGGGGGAGAGTTGGACAACCAAAAGATTTAAGGTCTATAAGGGTTTTTTATTAAGTTATTTAATGAAGTTGTTTGTGTGCCTGTTTAAATCCAAGGTCAATTTTAATCAAGACTTTGTTACAGAGATTTTGACTTTGAAGGAGAGGAAGCTTGTGAAGCGAGCGGGTAAGGGAGTAGATTGACTTGAAAGCTTATAAGGTAACTGTTAAATTTTATGTTATTAATGGAATTTAAGGATGTAATTTAGTTAAATTAATTAATGTTATTAATTTTATTTAAATTAAGAAGTGTGAAGAATAAGATAAATCCTTAGAATTTGAGGAAAGCAAAGAATTCTAAAGTTAAAAGAGTTTGGTATTTTAATAATTCTTTTATATTTAAATAAGACTTTCTTTAGGATGTAATTCTTATAGTTATATGTCCTTTTAATTGATTTAGTTATTAGTAAAAAGAAGTGAAGGAATAAATGATGAACTGGTGTCGTAATGCTATTGGTGTCCGGACCTTAATCTATGTCCATACACCGGATGTAATATTTTCCTTCTTACGTGACTGGACTTTTGGAAAGCTTAGGAAGGACTTGTCAACCCGATGTCGTAAGGATTGTTCCTTAGCTCTTTTTATTGCTCTTTACACGTTATTTTATAGTTTTAAGCATTGTTTATAATTTTATTTATTGGCCCTTAAATTTCTTTAAAAAAAAAAAGAAAAAAAAAAACAAACATACATTCTACATTTCTAATATTGAAACAACATATCTCCAAAAAAGACAGGGTTGTTACAAAGAATCTTGCTAGCCTATAACTTAACCAATTCATGTTTAGATCTCTTCAAATGGCCCAATGTAACTTGGGGTAAGCTCATCTGGATAAGCTACTATCACCTTCCATATCTATTTTCTGTTGGAAATTATTCGGTAAATTCCTCCCAACTGATTCTATATTAAAACTGAATGGTTTAAGAGGTGCCTCCAAATGCTGCTTGTGTGGTATGGCTGAAGAAGACTTGGACCACATCTTTATATCCTGCAAGCTTTCTAGAGATATATGGGCTTTAACTTTACAACACCTGCAGCTGCATCATCTTTAATTCAACTGGATTAACTGGAATGAATGTTGGAATGATTGGAAAGATCAGAAATTGCACTATTTTCCTCTTCTTATGGCTTGGTTCCTTTGGATGGCTAGAAACAATGCTAGGTATGATAATACATTGCCTTCAGCCAGGTGCAACAAAAAACTGTCTTGCTTATGTTAGTAAGGCCCATGACATTTACAAGCTCAACTTACCAACAATGGGGTCAACTAGACATAAGACTCACCTGATACAAAGAATCTTTTGGAGGAAACCAAAAGCTCCTTTGGTTAAACTAAACAATGATGACAGCTACACCTCATCCTCGGCTGGCTTTGGGGAATTTGCAGGGACCACAATGGGCATTGTTAATGATTTTTCCAAGCTCCAATAGTGGTTAGGGATGCATTAGAGACTGAAGCTGCTACTGTCTTCTAAGCCTTAAAGCTGGCTATCTCTTTTCGTCACAAACTCATACATGTAGAATTTGATGCACACCATTTAATTCAGCTCCTGAAGCAGCAAATCACTACACCTTGGTATCTTATCTATTGGGTCAAAAAGATCTTGAACCTCTCATCTTCAATTCAGGTGATTTGGAGCTATGTTCCCAGGGAAGGAAATCAACCGACTAACTAACTTGCCAACTCTAGACGCACTAGTTCATATCCTGCAGTGCTCTTCCCCTTCACCGCCCGTCGGCTATATATATATATATATATATATATATTCAATTGAGATTGATATTTGACAGAGGCTCAAATATTAATTTAGGAATATTTATGTGTTATTGTATTCTAGAAATATTTCTGGCGTTATAATAACACAATAACACATCAATAACACTTGAAGAACACACAATAAAATCTGAGTAACATGAGAGGAATATTCTCCAGTGTTACCTGGCTGATTTTTTTTTCACCTTCACGTGTGAGACGTGATTTCATTGGACTTCGCACACTACTCTACACGCGGAGTCCTGATGTAATATTTTTTTCATATATATGTATATATATATATATATCACTTGAAATATTACTATTTATAAAATCTTGCACTCACGTGATATTTTTGAACTACCAAACCAATTTATTTACACGGGCCATTATCAACCCATTGAAAATTTAATAAAAATGAAAAACATGGGTTATTGTTTTATCATCAATTTTGACATTTAATTGAGACTTTGAAAAATAGATGAAAAGGATGCTAGATTTGTAAATACTAAATAGCAATGTTTTGGGTGCTATGCATGTAATTGCCCCCTTAAATTATAATTATTTGGGTTTGATTTGAGATCTTCTCATTAGCTTATCACATCAGTCCTTTTGAGCGTAATAACGAGAAATAATATCAACTTACTAGTTAATTGAATAAGCCTTGCCTGAGGCTTTTAGTGAATGGCCCACAAAATTTTAAAATTCAGATTTTAATTGAATAACCTATTGAATAGAATAAAAATTTTAATAAGCACAACAATTAAGAAAAGAAAACTCTAATATAATTATATATTAAATAAATTAATAATCATGTTAAACAAGCATATTATAAAGTAATTAATCAAGCTTCTTAATTTTATTCATAAACCCCTAATTATCATAAATGAATCAAACATAACAACTTGTTCATTTACCAAATGAAATTTTTATAAAAATATTTATTATTTAATATGTATATCATTTTACTTATACTTGATAAAGTGTATTTCAATACCTATATCGATCTAATTCTAGCTAGGCTAGACTTATAATGAACCTAATGGGCCCATTAAGCCAAACCTCATGTCAGCTTACAGTCCTCGTCAAGTTAACCTTATTTGAACTTAAGGACCCGTTTAGGGCAGATTTTTTGCCGCAACGCGGCTTTAGAATGCTGGTTCTGTCATTTGAAAAGTGCGGCGTAGCTTCTTCTCGGAATTAATCGGGAGGAAATGCGGTGACAAACAGTTTATGCCCAGCTGCCCCAAACAGTGCCTAAATTATCTTCTATTACGCTCTGGTGGACCCAAAATGTCAACAAAAATCATAGACATTCTAGCTATCAAATCACCACCAAAGTTTTCTTGATCCAAGTGTGGGCAGCTTTGACCAAGTAACCAAATTCAAGTTCAGAATAAAGTTCTGTTTTCAAATGTAGTCTTGACTAGCTAAAAAAAAATGTAGCTATAGCATTATGTAATGTATATAGTGAGAAGCAGAGCTTCATGCCAAAGAGAACTATAACAAATATATCTTCTGATACAGCTTAAAGTTGAGTGCAAAATAAAAATAAAATAAAATAAAGGTAGTTGTAAGAAATATTTTACTTGTCAGCATCTTCAATATCAGAGCCACGCCTACTTTCTCCAGGAGTGTTCATCCGAGAATTTCTTTTAGTGGGCACAAGGACGTTCTCCTCGTCATCCATAGCCAATGGCTGGCCAAACTCATCCTTGCGAAAGACTGGGTGGATATAAGCGTCTTGGAGGTAGGCCTTCAAGTTGAAGTTTGGCTCGATGGCACGCTCTAATGTGTCCTTCACCATTGCATCCTGCGGGGGTAAAAATGGTTTTTAATTTAGTAAGTAAAAGTAGTGCAGAAAAATAAAATTCGATTCATGCGAATGAATTGAGAGCTTATTTGGCAGCTTGCGGATGGAAAACAAGTTGTGAAGAATGATGTAGTTTTGCTAGATAGAATCATTTTTGTTGGAAGAGAGACACGAGTTGTTGGGGCTGTTTGGGTTCAAATTTGCTAGATTTCATCATTTTATAATGTTTAATTAAGTAGTAAATCCTGTAGATTCAAGTTTAGTAAATCCTAGACACGTTAATCCTTCCTATAAACTGCCTAAATATTAAATGTGGTTGTATGCTAGTATACCAGGTAGGTATTTTTAAGATTCCGGATTTGAATGAAGAAGAAGCTTGATGGGAGGCATAAAAATCTGTTAAAACATGGTGCATTTACAAACATACAGCATGGTTTTTATACATTTACACCCATAACTCTTAATTCTTTAATATATCACTCAAAAATATATCATGACTTATTTGTTAAGAGCGAAATATATCTTTTCATCCATATGCTTGTAACACCAAAGCGATATAAATCTAAATATGAAAGTTTAGGCGTTAGATATGTAAATACATAAGAATAGTGTGGTATGTATGTAAATTTACCTAAAACGGGGAGAGCTCAAAAAGGCTATTTGGCAAGTCTTGGGCCTAAAACTCGGCTAAAAATTGCAATTCATCAGCCATTTGAATTCCAACTCAAACCTAATGAAATTCTCATAATTTGCTCTGTATAAAAACCAAATGTACCCAAGGAAGAATAAAAAAAAGTAAAGACTCGTTTCATTGAGAAACAATTTTCTTGTTTTATATTTAGTGCAGGGACTGAAAGAGACAGTATAAATAAAGTCATAAATGTAACGGTTCTGCTCTTAATGGAGGAGAAACGAAGAGTCATGGAAGAGGATGGGAAGAGTCGAGCCAAATGAATGAAAGGGAAAGAAGCGAGAATATTGTGAAACTGAAGAAGAAGAAGAATTGAGGAGTCCTGAAACCAAACGAGGAAGGGAGAGGAAATGAATCGATCATAGTGGGAGAAGCGAGTGAAGGTCAGGAAGTTGGAGAGGCAAATTCGCCTATAAAGTAGCAGACCGACTTACCTGGAGCCAAACAGTGAGGACAAAGTGAAAATTATGGCAGAAGCGTCGCATCTCTAGTGCGGGAGGAGGAGATTATTTGGGTGATGAGCAGAGGAGATGAAGAAGAAGGTGTCGCTTCTTCGTTGAGCTTCGCGAAGAATAATCGAGCCGAGTTGAGGAGTAATCGTCGTGCACGAAGAAGAAAGGGAGGAAGATAGCGAGCGGGAGGTGTTCAAACAAAAGGAGAAGGGAAGATTCATGCGGGTGCTTGGTCGAGCCTCATGCGTAGGAAGAAGATCGTCGCAAATAGAGGAGGCATGGCTTCATGCGAGGGATTAAGAAGAGCAGCTCTACGAGGTTATCGAGCCCATCGCGGGAAGGAGGAAGAAATTCGACTCAGTGCCCTATGTTGAAGGAGTCGCGTGCTAGCCTCACATGGGATAGGATTGACCGAGGTAAGGTTTTTATTAAAATATAACAACAATAATAATAATAATAATAACATATATATATGTATATGTATATGTATATGTAATATCTATGTATATATAGATGGCGATCCTCGTCCTCGTTCTCGCTCTGCTGGGTTCGCCCATGGCAATCCCTGATTTTTCTGATTCACTGCATTTTTGTTGAACTGTTTTGTCTCGTTCGTCTTCGTCGTCGAATTGTTTCGTCCTCGTTCGTCTTCATCGCCAATCTTTTTTCGTCGCGTCGCAGCAGCTCTATCGTCCCGATTCAGCGACTCTCTCGACAGGTTGTCGGGCTCGGGGGCGTCCGTTTCAGCGGCTCTCAGTTGCCTCTCGCTGCGGTTTTTGAGGGACGTCTGGTCACAGGCATCTGCGGCTTGTCGTCGTCCCGAGAAGGTGCTGAGGGCGTCTTTTAGCTGCCGCTAGCTGGTCGTCTGCAGCTCACAGAGGAGCTTTCCTACGCTCCTTGCTCCATGTTTGGTTTCGTTATTTGCTCTCTGCATTTTCATATGGCTTCGGATAGATCGTATGCTGCTACCCTTGTAGCCCAAGCCTCAGGTACACCTAAATCGTATTCTTTTACTCCTTCGTTTGAGTGGGAGGATCCTCATTTGTTTGAGTGGGAGGAGGACATAAAAAAACCTAGTAGAAAGAATGAAACAACTATAATTTTTTTTTACAGAAGCTGAAGGTATTCAACTTGCTCCTTCCTGTTGTCTAATTTTGGTCGAGAAATTTTTGTATGGTCATCCCAAAATGGAGCTGATTCGTAACAAAATTTGAGCTTATGCGCCTTGTTGAGGAGTGTAAAATTAGACTATTAGATGGAAGACAACCACTTATTTAACTTAATAATGAAGAGTATTGTACACGTTTATTTGCTAGAAAGATTATCTAGATTGATAACAGAACAATGAAGATTATGAAATAGTCTGTCGATTTTAACCTTTAGACACAATCACCAATCATTCCGGTTTGGATTCGCCTCCCCGGTTTGAAATTTCATTATTTCACTCAAAAAGTGTTCTACTTTATTGACTCAGCTTATGATAAGCCACTTAAAACGAACATTCCTACTTTTAATCTTTCTCGCCCATCTAAAGTCAGAGTACTTTTTGAAAGAGATATCACTTCATCCGCTTCTGAGGAGATTTGGTTGGCACACAGCACCATGAATATTGACAAAAGGTAGTGATTGAGTATTTTCCTTTTTATTGTTTGAACTGTCGTATGTTTGGTCATTCCAGTTCTCAATGCCACCATCTACACTCCCAATTCAGACCAAAAAAGCAAAGTGCTCCGCCAGAGGCAGAGTATCTAGCTCATCCTATTCAGCTCAAAGTTATTGACACTATTGATCATCAAAAGGATACCCCTGAAGACGTCACTAACTTCGCAGGCAATATGTCAACCATTCAGTCTTCACACAATGTTGTGGCTCTCCCGTCTTTGGAACCTCCAATTGTGAGGGCGAGGGAGATTCTTTAGACCCCATCTGCTCAAGAACCTATCACGGATATTACAGGTGGCAATACTTCTACTGCTTAACTACTGTCTCATCAGGTCGAGCAAAATGTTGATGTTTCTCAGGCTCATGGGAACATTATGTGCAACAAACTACACATGTCCGACCACCTTTGGAATCCATTGATCAATTGAGTCAATCCTCGGATGAGGAATGACAAATCTACACATCCAGGAGGAAGAAAAAGAATGTAGACTTACTTGAGCTCAAGAATCTGATGGACAATACTTTGGTTACTTCAGGTAATGGTACGCACCTTACCAATCTGTTAGCTAGCTCCCTTCAGAGAACTAGAGACAGAGGAAAGACTAAAGTGAGACATCCCTAGCACTTTGGCGTCTGTCGGTGGCTTTTTGGTTTTTTATCATTTTTTATCTTTGTCTATTTAATATATTAGCCCTTCGGCTTTTTCATATATATATATATATATATATATATACACACACACACACACACACACACACACACACACACACACA